TAACAAATCTAATTCCTCATTCATCTTTATTATCTTCTTCAATTTTTTCTTTTCCTAATATTTTTTGAAATTTTCTTATTCTTCTTCTAATATTTTTGGTAAAATATTTTTTCTAAAATCATCATCTATACTTCCTGCTTCTATTACCAAATTTTCTTGTTCTATGTATTTTTTTTTCCAATTCTTAACATTTCTTTTTCTATAAGTTTTTTTATCTTTAAATTTATTGTTTTCTTTTAATTCTCTAATTTTAATTTTTAATATATTTATATCTTCTATTATTTCATTTCTTAGATCTTGAACATCAGTTATCAATATTTTTATTAATGATTTTAATTCTTCCATATGATTATTCATATGATTATTTTATCTTTGATTGGCTAAAATAATATGTTCTACACTCAGTATCTTTACAGTCTTTTATAATTTTATTATATTTTTGTTTTGTAAATTTATTATCTGTTAGTTCTTTTAATTTCTCATAATAGTTTGCTCTTTCATTATATATATATATTTTTTATTTTAATTTTAATATTTGATTTTCTTGGAATTTTGTTAATTTTTTAGGAATTAATCGCTCGTCAGGAACTAATAATTCATCTAATATTTGGTGATTTATTATTTTTATTCTTTCTGATTTTTTAATCAAATTATTTTTTATTTTTACTTTTTCCATATTTTTCATTAATTTAGTTAAGTATTTTATTGGTTTTTATAATCCATATTTTTCTTTACATAATTTCTTCCATATCCATTTTCATGATAATTTTTTCATATATATATTCATCTCTTGTTGATCCTATTATAAGTTTATCTATAATTTGCTATCTTACCTCTCTAGGCAACTCTTTAATTATAATCAATGTTATGATTTTAATTTTTTAGGAAAGGATTCTAAAAATATATAACTTCATCTTTCTTCTTCTAACGTATAATACTAATCTGTTTTAGTAATTGTAACTTCCATGATTTTATAGTTCTTTATTTTGTTTACTCATACTTATTTATTTCTTCTTTAATTAGATTATACATATTTTTTTCAAAGGTTTCTAATATCATCTCATAAGTATAAATATCTTTAATTATTCCTAATTTTATTTTTTCAATTATAAATTATTTTATTTCTGTAGGTAATTTTTCAAGTGCTTTTAGTGTAAATTTTATTTTTTCATTACATAATATTGGTTTTATAATTATTATATTAAAATTTTCTTTTATTATCTTGTATTTATTACCTAAATCTTCAACTTCCATTATCCTTATAGATCTATGTAATATTTATCTATCTTGATAATAGTAATTTCCATGATCACTATGGCTCTGATACCAATGGGGGGAGGGGGGCTAGTACTATGAGTGAACAAAAATCTAAGAATCCAATAATATTTAAAATCTGAAAATCTTAAAATGGTTCTTTAGAAATTCTTTAATATTCTAAGAATTCTTTTAAATTCTTTAAACTTAATCTATTATTTATTATGGATATATAAAATCTTAATGTTAATTTAAATTTTAAATCTTTATATGCTCGAGGTAATCTATTTGTAATAGGTTTTCTCATTTATAGAGTTTTAAGTAAATTTTCAAAATCTAATAATGTTTGAGAATTTATAATATCTAGATCTGTTATTATATCTATATTTGAGTCAAAAGGTATCTCATATTTTAAAATATTCGTTTTCCCTTTTTCCAATTTATCTATAATATCCTATATATCTTTTATTATTATAGATCTTACCATACCCTTACCAAAGTTTTCCATCATGTTTTCCTTAATACATTTTAATATTTTTTGCGATGCATTTAATTGTTCTTGATATCCGATCTTATCAAATTCATTTTCAAATTCAATTTTTTTTTTTCATAATTTTCTTAATCTTATATGGTCCTCTTTTAGATCTGAGTTTTTTATAAGTCATTTTATGATAATCTAATTCTTTAGGACTTGATTGTATTCTTTTCATATTTTGGTAGCTTAGATATAATTATTATACTTGGGGTATTTTAGGTAGTTTCAATTATTTAGAAAAGTCAAAGGCCATTTTGGAATTATAGCATGATATTTAGGCTATCCACATATATTTCCTCGTCACAGGCAGTTGTATAATAACCCTTTTGAACACGATTTTGGACCTTAATTCCTGACCTATTTGTTCAATGTAAAATTCTACAGTAAAATATTTGATTAGTAATTTATAACGCAACTTGAATCACCTCAAACCAATAATCGTGGGGCTCGAATGGTGCCCCGCAAGTTTGCTGTCCAAACATGCTTCAATTTGGGATTCTCGTTTTAACTTTCAACTTTGGTTCCTAGATTCAGTTTTCTTGTGATTTGGTCCCTAAGTTTATTCTTCATCTATCTATAGACATCCTTTTTAAGTCCCTAACATTTAATTTTGGTCCCTAACTCCATTAATCATAATTCCTTGCATGGTGTACCTTCGGAATACTTCCAAATTTTGAAAAGTGGTACCTCAAATTTTTTTTGGGAGGTTACAAATTAACTCTTAAATAAAATTAAAATTCTAATTTAATTAAAATTAGTAAAATAAGTCCAGAAAAATGAAAAAAAATAATATTTTTGGATCCCTAAAAGATGGAATTTGATCAAAAATGTCAAATATTTTTGTCATGTTAAGTTTTTATTGAATATTTAGTAGTGATTTAAATTCTAAAATTTGGGTCGTTACATCGGAACTCCAAGCACCTCTTCTCAAAACTCCAACAACTCTGAAGGTTTATTGGTGAAGATAGGTTTGGTGTTTGATCAATAATTTTTTTTGTGTTTTGATAGTAAGCTGATGCAAGAGATATTTGTAACGCCCCAAAATTTACAAACATCTTGAGGTGTTACCAATCATAATTTTTATGTACTTAAAATGCGGAACTATAAAATTCATTCTTTTTCTAAATAAACAAAACATTCATAATTTAAATTCGAATCATAAATCATGTCTTTAAAAACAATTTAAACGTTCTCAACTACTGTTATTGGACAAAGCAAACTACTAGATTTTAAGATAAATAGCAGTAAAACTTAATATTGTTCTCGTAGGTGGAAATCCATTNCCATAATATAGTATACTATGTTGATCATTCGTACCTTCTAAAGTAAGAGAAAGTTACTCAATAGTTCACGTGGGATTGGGATTGGGAGCAAATTAAAATCAACATTAACATAATTAATTATGAATTTAGGTAATATCTTTCAACTTAATAACTTGAACCTCGTTTATTCGAATTGACTTTTTCTCAAGCCCAATACACATAATTAATTACAAGCTATCTAACGAGTACAATATTAATATACTTATCATTACTCTATCAACATCTAGATATTTGACCCAAATAAAATATAATTTAATATATGTCACCTTAGTCCACCGACTTTCAAAATATAAAATGTAGTAGATGAAATAAAAATTTTATTTTTTAAAATTTTCGGGGTGTTACAATAAATTTTCGGGGTGTTACAATATTGTAATATGTTTTTGGTTTTCAAAGAACAAACTCTTGACTTACAACAAAACTCTATTAATTGGATCATTATATAGGTTGCATAATGAACAAATAATATTGTGGTTAAATCAATGAATTAATGAAAGAATGTTTGGATATTCAAAGAATGATCTCTATAATCAAAATATTGTTCAATTACACTTAGACGTCCCATATGGTGTATATTTATAATAGGTAGTGTTTGGAATGAAAAAGAACTCAAAATCTACTTGAACAGGCCATGAGCGACATCTGAGCAATTGTCAGTATTTTTATCATAACTTTTTCTTCAACATCAGATTGAGTTGATTCAAAGTGTATTGGAAATATAACTCAAATGGCTACAATTCTTCCAAGTAGCATTGTCCAAATTCTAATTTTTTTTTATGTGAAAAATGAGTCGCAACTTGTAGCTTAGAATTTGGAATATGATTTGTGCAACACTTTTACACTTTTTTGAATTCGAATTGCATTCCAATGATCATGTATGACTTGGACTCCTTCAAAACATATACTACGAATTTCAATTCTTTTGTCCTTAATTAAGACTCAATGACTCTTATTTTGACCTTGATTACAATTCGATAAACTCCTAATACAATTTAAGTAGAACATGATTTTGATTAAGAAAATTGCTAATTACAAATTTGAAAATTGTTAATTTTGCTAATTACAAAATTGGCCCTAACACCCATTATATGTTAAAAACTTAAAAACACAAAAAAAGATTCAGAAGAAGGGAGGGAGGATTCTTACCATGGAAAAGCCATGAGTTCGAACGATGAAGGAATACTAATGGAGTTGCATAAAACTTCATAAAAAATTGAACTAGAGAGAACAGTCTCACTATGGATTGAAGTTTCTTCAACTTTTTCCTTGTGGGAGAAGAAGAGAATGACGGGTGGGTTGTGTGTTTATAAAGTCTGGGCGTGAGATGGTGAGTTTTGAAGTTGGATCGGGGTGTGAGTTGAATTGGGTGTGTTTTATAGGACCTTTGTGTACTATTCTGTACAACTTTTTCTATCAAATCAAATCAATTAGGGACACATGAAATTACAATTGTCTTAGGGATAACAATACAAAAAGTGGCATGGGTGCAGTTTCCTCTTTTGCTTAATAGGTCATTTCCATTAAAAAAAATTGACTAGAAATTCTCCGAGAATGAACGCTTCCAAAAATACATCTTTTGTCACTATTTTCACTTTTTCATGAAATTCTCTGTGTTGCATCATTGAGTCAATCTAGGTGTTGAGATAGCAAATGGTATTGAAATTCAACCTGGTCAATGGAACAAAGTAATCAATATTGGAGGCTTAAGTAAATTATTTTCGTAATTATTATTTAACAACTGTGAGTAGACCTGACATTTGGGCGAAAATCTTCCCCACACATATTCCAGTTAATGGTATCGCTCCAAATGACAACAATCTGGAAAATAAACCCTATAAATTGTTGAATTCTGGAGTATAGGAGCCCAAAAAAATAAATTTGTTAGGGCTATGAATGCGGTGGAGCGGACTGGACAAAAGGATTCCGAGAGGGATCGTGTCCGGGTCAAGAGGAAAACCTTGGAGGAAGTGCTCCAGCAATGCCAGATGGCCCTCCAAGAGCTCACCGATGACCTAGATGATGATGATGATGCCGACGATGACCTGGATGGTCTGCCAGGCTTTGTTGATAGCTCATCTTCCACCTGTTGCGATGTCGACACAGCTGAGGTCAAGGGTTCATTATTGTTATATTTCTTTTCGCCCCTTTCCCCTTTTAAGATAATTGCGAGTTTTGGTTCTTTTATTGTAGTTGCATATACAGTAAACATATATCCAGATTTGGGTATGAGTTATTTTTCTTCCTTTTTATCAGTTTTGAACTGAAATAAAAGGGTAATTTTATGTGCTGGAGAACAGAATATAAATTGGCCTGAAAGAGTTTTGACATTTAACAATTGCAATCATTGAAACACCGAATATAAGTTTTCTGTTATTAGCATTACTTTTTGTGTTGGTTTTGAACAATGTTTCCAGAAATGAGGTACAGAAACATACTTTTTGGTTTCGGGCATGTGAATCTGTCGAATATGAATCAGGATAAAAAGTGCTGCTATACAGACCTGGAAAATTATAACTGTTTCAGCTAACACATGCAAAGTACGTGGACCACCTAAGCTATTCAAGGATTTTATAGGGTTGTGATCTCTGAGTACAGATTACTTAAACATGATCTTGTAATTCTTTTTCGGCAAGGGAGCATGATAAGAAAGAAATGCTAAGAAGAGAACATCCCCATCCACACATACTAATATAACATTTGCTTTGTATATTGCAGAGTTGTGATCTATTGCAATCTGTGGTTGAAGGCACTGATTTTCTTGAGAAACTAGAGAGCGCCCATGCATCACTTCCGCAGAACATGGCTGGTATGTTTACAATGACAGCTAGCATAAAAATTTACTAAAATGTGATTATTTATCAATGGGCATATTTTCCATCTTTCTCAAATATATAATATGAAAATGTATGCTGGGACTTTTTTTTCAATTAGGATTTTCCTATTTCCTCGCTAGGTTTAGATTGGACTTCTTTTTATTAAAACGTTCATTATTTCATTATGGTAAGGAGAATTGATAGTTGAAAATAACTCCTCTAGAACAAATGCAATGGTGTCCTTGTAACTGTTTTTATCATTCCCCATGATGTAGAGGAAGGCAGTTCCTGGGACATGGTCTGTGAAAATGATATTTGGGAAGATGAAAATCTGGAGTCATATGGAGAAGATTTTTTTTTTGTTAGGCAAGAAGATATAGTGGAGGGTATAGCTTGCTTCATGGCTGCATATCTGTTATCTCTCAAACAAACAAAGGTAAGGTTATTTCTCTTGTTGCCGCTTTTGAATCAAGTCTTCACACAATATTTATACGAGTATATTAAATACTTAAAAGTAATTCAATGTGGTGATCATAGAGTTTCACTTATATTGCTCTAATGTCATTAATGATGTATGCTTTATTCTCCATATTGGTTGATTGATATTTGTTGGTCAGATAAATCTACGACAACCTGAGACTTGTGTAATCTTCCTATCTCACGAATGAAAAAGATGATTATGGAGGCAGGCATACGTTGGTCTGCTAAATTTACTATCAATAAATTTGTGACTTGCATCTTGGAACGTGTATATATATTTGATTTTGGTTGCTGGACTGATGGAGAAAAGGGCCCTTGATGCACAATGCTTGTGCTCTTTTGGGTCTTGATAAGAGGTAGATGAATGTTGATGAAGTCTTTGTCACGTGCATTTTACTTTTGTTGGTTTCCTTTTCCTTAAGCCAAAGGTTATTTTCTCATCATTTGGCTAAGATTTTACTTGACATCTTTTTGTATCTGGTAATTTGATTGGAAAATCCTTGAATAGATAATTGTTAGATAGCTCTGACTTTACTGGTGACTTGCCTTTACTTGCTTTCAAATTTTTAGTCTCTCCAGCTTAAGTTGATCCATGGTCATGATCTTCCATGCAACTGGATGTTTTTATTATTTTATTACTCTTATATGACACCTCATATTTTTATATATGTGATGAGATTATATCGTAAGTTGTAGCATTAAAACAAGTGGACAATGGGGTTATGGCCCCTAAAATCCTTTTAGTGAAGAGTAAGTAGCTTCTTCAGAGGTGGTCACCTTGTGTTACATTGCACTGATATTCGGATTCCATTCCATTGGGACCTTCTCTTCTACCACCATAAACCTACATCAGGAGAGGCCTAAATTCTAACGTCATCAGCCCCAGAGGTGCACCACTTAATTGGGCTAATCCTCTGCCCTGAAGAATCTCTCTTTGTTGTGCATGAGCTACAGACACCCTTCGAGCAAGTGCCTAGGTGTCATTTGCCGTGTCCTATATTACATTTTATAAAAAATAAAGATATGGCATATGAATTTAAAATTTCAAAAAATTTAAATGGACGTTTTCCGACATGTCCGTGTACTACTTTTTCAAAAATTGCGTATTGGTGTGCCCGTGTCGTGTTGTGTCTGTGCAACTTAGGCATGTGCCCTAAAACTCCTATATGCTGAACCAGTATCGTTTATCTGATTAATTTGGGATCTCACAAACGCCACTTGTATGGTTATAATTCCAACACTATTTTCTGGCATTTTAATAAAGAGCGAAACGAAAGTCAAAAGAAAAAGATACATCCAGTAAATAACTAGGCTCCTAACGCATTTCGTAATTAGAGACATCATCCTCCTCAGCCAGAATATTCCTAAATATCATTCTTTAGCAAGAACGTATATGATTTTTCCTTAGTCGCTATGTAAGAGGTTATGGTTCCCACAATATACCCATTTTTGAAGCTAGTTTTTGGATTTTGACATGCAAAGTGTACAAGAAATATACATAGATAAAAAAAAAGTGCATTAAGTTCTATCTGCATGCATTGCATGAGTAGACAAGCTCCATTTTTGAAGCTACCTTGAATGTTGTCTAATAGTCTAATAGCCTTACAATTATGTTATTACCTTGAAGGTAAAGCTCTTGGGTAAAGACTAGGAGCATTTCATACTCTAGTGAATTTGGTTTTCCAGTAAAAAAGTGCAGCTGTCTCTTACTTTACCCGTCCTGCAACAATGGATAAGATAACTCAACTAGTAAATTGAACTATTAAATACACTCCACCTTGGTTGTAAGCACCATGTGATAACATGTTCAGTTACCATATCCAAATTAACGGCTGCATTATAATTTGTGCTTCTTGTTATTAATCCCGTAGGAAGCGGGGGTATACTAATTACAAGTATGGAGTTCAATGCATGAGTAGGCATGATCACAAGTACAACGGTGCTGAGCATTAACTTTGAAAGTTCATATTCGGTGTAACGGCGATATTTAGAACTTTGAAGTTCATGTTGCATACAAATATATGACCAAGTGAGTGGCTAGCTAATTAGATAGATTACTAACATCTCTAGGAAAACATTAGTTTTGCATTCAAGGATATATGGAAACTAGGTCTGAGAGTGTAAAAGAGAATAGTAATGGCAGAGAAAGTGATTGGCTACTATATTCGTTAAATGCATATAATAAAGGTGTATTTTTGGACTGATGAGTTTGTTGAAATGACTAATGACTGAGATATAGGTCAATAAAAATGAAATAAAGTACGATATCTAAAGTCCAAATATAGTTATTGCAGTATCAACTTTGCAGTTGACAAAGATTGACCTACTTGCATGGTTATTAGTAAGGAAGCATGAATAAGAAGATTCGTAACGTATCTTTGATTTGATTTGCAAAAATAAAAATAAAGAAATATTTTTTTTGAGCTTTCTTTTACCTGGTTATTTAGACTTAATTTGTGATGCACATTAACTTTTTAACATACGAACACACACTGACACACATAAGGTCTCTCTGTTCAAATGATATTTTTTTAATTTAGATTTATGGTCCAACTGGTTGCATTGGTGAAACGGTGTCACTGTAGTGTTTGGGTCAAACACTGATATGGTATGTCAACTATGGCAGGAGAACAAGATATTCTTGGTCCACGATGTTGTTTGGAAACTTGAAAAGTTAATTACGTCAACTTTCGTTTGACTAATAAACCATGAAACAAAGATATTGGTTTTGCCAAAGAATCAAATACTTTGGTTTCCTGAATCAATTCACTTAAACCAGTTTCAGATTTGCATGCAGCCTTCCTAGAGATCTGAAACTCCCTGCTTTGATGTGCAGTGTGGTCTATTGAGATGTGGCTATCGGAGTATAGTGATGCTAAACATGGTTAAAAATGAGATGAGACTCCAATATCTTTATTTTAATTAGTTTTTGTTGCATTTTATTCAAAATGATGTATATATTACTGGAGGAAGGATGCTTCAGGAAAACTCTCATAAATCCCCTTATGATGGATTTCATGGTTGAGTCCGATGTGGAGTTGTGTACCCTATGAGTTGGTTGACTGGGTGGGGATGATTTTTTATTTTTTATGGGCCCTTGTTTGGTGCCCATTATTTCAAAAAAAAAAAAAAAAAAGGAGGAAAAAAAAGAGAGTTTTGAATAGTATTTTTAGGGGAATTTGTGGTTAAAAAGTAGAGACTAGTTTTGAGTTTATGTGCATAATATTTTATTATGTGAATGTGTGGTTGAAAATGATCATGTAGCAAAAAGAAGTTTAAAACAATGGGCACCAAATAGGGGCTAAATAAAGTAAGAGGTTCACCTTTATCCTGGCTGCTGGCCAATGTACCTGTGAATTGTAAGTTCCAGAAGAAAGAACAGAGCTTTGTTCTTGCAGTTGGACCAATTTCCCGTAGCAATGTAATATTATTATCATGATTCACTCCATTAAAATAAAGAGATCAAATTACTATTTACAGGCTGCTAGGCTTCTCCACGTGTAGTATAAGAAAATTGACTCGGGAAACTTTTGATTAATTAATTGTGAGGCTAATCCTAGATGACCTTGACTCCTATCAAAAGTGGATACATTGATTAACTTATCTGAGATACAATGAACTATGGATCTTTACCTATTTCGGGTAGTTATATAAAAACTTGATGACACTTGGCCCTGAGATCATAAGAAATCTGAAGTAAAATAATTTAAATAGCTTTGTAATACAATACACTAGGACATATATTGTAAAAAGTTGGAACTTGCTTCAAGTCCGACTAGCTGCACTGCTGCAGAGCTTCATATTTACCTTTCTTCGCATTCTCCACCTATCATAAGATTTCTTCCTTTCTTTGTTTTGCAGGATGTGACGCCAAACCAGCTTCAGGAAGGTGGGTCAAATTTTTATCTTCTTCTCCATGATTGTGTTTTGGTAAACGTAATGGTGGATCGAATGATAGAAAAGGATTTATGTACCAACTAAATTTATAATCTGTAGTCTGTAGTTTTTGGAGACTGAATGCATGTTTTAAAAAGTGAGAATTAAAATATAAGGGTTAGAAGCTGTGGGTCCTACGGAATTAGTAAAGAGTATTTTCAAGAGGCTCTTTAAAAGTAAAACGTTTTCTATTTTAAAAAGCAAACCTTAAAAGAGACTCTTCAAATTAACATTTTAAAATAAAGAGTGAGTTTGGCTCTTCAAGTTTGGAGAGTCATACCCATTCTATAATTAAATACATTCAAAATATTCCAATTTTCAATGCTCCATATATTGTCAACTAAATGGTATATACAAAGAAAATGGATGGAAATAATGTAATAATTTGGAGGGAAGTTGGTAAAAAAAAAAGATGGGGAAAAATAATAAATACATATTGGGAGAAATAAAATTATGTCGTAAAGATAAAGAGGCTATTGGAGTATTTAATATTTTTTACTCTCAAAATTTATAGATGCTCTCAAAATTGCAAAATATGCTCTTTAAAAATAGTCTTTTGGAGATGTTCTAATTGGGTAGTAGTTGTGAGTCCCGGAATGTGAATCTTTTCCAACTTTTTATGTACTTCATGAAGCTTTGAAATCAGGGATAGACTGAAATGTCTCAAATTTTCTGAACTTTGTTTTAGCTCTGCGCAAGACATTCTCTTTAAAAAAGAAGAAGGGTAAGCTGCAGAAGGCACTGGATGGAAGCAGAGTCATTTACAATATAGCTTCCTGGGGAGCTACTGCCATGGGGTGAGTTATCTCAAAATAAATATCATATTTTGAGTTCAGGTTGTTCAGATTTCTTGTTGATTGTATAGTTTGATGTTTGTGCTAAGGTTTAGGAAACTAATGATTATCCTATTATGACTTATTAGGTCACATGAATGTACGCTACCAGTTGAAAATTTATTCAGTCAGTATTATAAATGTTGCATCTCCTGAAATGCATGGGTTCTGTACTTCACAATCATATGAAAAAATTACAAAAGAAAGAATATGAAAACGAAGAGATAAGAGAAGGATAAAATGAGCATTGTTTATGAATCACATAATCACTTGGCATTCTACTTGAACCAAATAGTTGTAAGCCTGTAGTTTTTTAAACTTTCGACTCTGATGTTGAGATATTAATTTTTGATGCTTGGACAATGTTTAAGCAAGCCCTCAGGCAAATTATTCTCTAGCTTGTATGTTCTGTTTACTTTTGCTATGCTTTCAACTTCATATGGTACTTTATTTTCATTATCCTTGGCAAGAGCATGATTCCTAGTTTCTAATTCTGGAGGTCAAACTTGAAAGTCACATGGGAAGTGGTGAGCTTATGTTTTGTGCCGAATCATAAGGGAAAATGAATTGACATGACTGCTTTTGTAAAGGATAAAAATAATGAGAACGTGTAACTGTGTAAGGAATGCTCAAATTGAATGTGGATGACCTTTTTATTCATTCTACAGGATTGGTGATTTATGGCTCTTACTGGGTTATGCATTCTTTTGGTGTTCACTCTATAATCTAAATATACAGCATCATTCCTTCTCAATCTTCTAGATACTTGCTACCATTGTTTCTTTAAATGTCGGATTATTCTACCATCTCGTTAACTTTGCTACCATTCCTTCTTTAAATGTTGGATTATTCTACCATCTCGTGAACAATGTTGGATTCTTGCTGTTTTTTACTGTCCGTTTGTGCTGTGCGTGGTCCAGGATTTACCAAAACCCAGTCCTTTCAAGGGCTGCTGGTGCAGCATTCTGGACATCATGTTGTGCTATCTCAAAGCTTTTCTGAGCTACACTGGTGACCTGGAAAGAGCCCAGTGCTCGAGTTTTAATGCTGTGGTTGCCCTTGCTTTCCTAGCATCTTTCCATGTTGCAAAATTGTGCCTCGTACTGTATTCCTTTCGCACAAGACTGTTAATTCCTTGAAAGTTATTCGTTTATGTACCTTTTTTTCAAGTGGTGTTCGCTGTTGTCACTGGCTGATTGTTATTAACTCAAATGTAGCGTTCAGGAGGGGGCCTTCTTTTGGCTCTAGCCAGCAATGGCCGTATATACATGTATAGGCGTGCTGTAGTGAGGCGTGCACTGTCACCGACTTATGATTACTAATGTAATCTATTATGGAAGCAACAATTGCATATTTTGCTGGATTTATTGTGGCGACTGTATGTACTATTTTTTTCTTTCATCCTTTATGATCCAAATTATTTTGGTAAAATTCTCATGGTTAGAAGTAATTTTCAATACTTTTTGTGATACAATACAACCCTATCCCTGCCCACAAGGGCCGCAAACCAACCAACCCACTTCAAAGTCCAGATTGCAGTCTCATGAGACAAAATCTCATAAGGACATTTTCAATGTTTCTAAATAGTCATTGTACTACAATTTTTTTTGAATGTATTTTACACTTTCAACATTGTTTCTGATTCGTCACTTCGGATCGTTTGAAAATTAACAATTTGATGACGTGAAAATCAGTTCATTAATTTTTTAAACTACCTGGAATGATAGATGGGGGAAAATGTAAAAAAGTGCAGTGATTTTTAAGAATGTTAGTGCCGGTTGGAAAAAATAACATTGTGAAGTGTTCATTGTGATCTTTTTACTCGTGAAGTTTCACAAGATCAACTTGTATATAATTGACTAATGAACAAGCAAAAAAATATTATTGAATAAAAAAAATTAATAGCATGAATAATAATGGGAGAAAAATCAAATCTAGCACTATCTACTTATCATATACAAGGGTTAAACACAATGACGGATCCAAGATGGTAGGTCAGCTAGGGCGGTCATTGATCGTTGACCATTCACCATCGACAGTCAACGATTGTAATAGCGATGTCATTTATTAATATTTAATCAAATAATATAAAAAATTCCTCGATCCATGTGTAAATGCACTAAAACGTAAAAATCATGGATAAAACTATCATCAAGTTTCAATTTCCAACAACAATTTATTATTTATCATACAAATTCACAATTTTATCATTTTCATTTATCACAAATCAAATTCATAGTCCACATATATCAAATATTTTCAAATTCACAAATATCATAAATCATAAACCTCACCAATCAACAGTAAAATTCCCAATATTCTCAAATTCTCGAATTCACCATAGTCAATAGGCTCTCAGACACGATCATAACTCATAAAACATAAATTAACATATGTATGATAAATTGAAAAAATGAACTAAATTCTAAAAGAACAAAATTCAAAAACAAGAACAAAAGAAAAGAACGCCACGCACTCACTGACTCACAAGAGTGATGCAATCACGCAAACTAGTGGCGGAGATCGGAGAGGCTAGCGTTGGGGCAACAACTCATCGACGGCCAACAGCAATCACACCGTCATAGGGCATGGGCTGGGTGCAAAGGAGTGAGGGATTGAGAATAGAGATAGGATTTACATGCACTGCCAGTTTCGTTTGAAATTGCAAATGAAATTTGTGGTGCGATTTTTTTCCTCTTTCCGATTCAATACAAACCAAGTTATCTGATATTAGATCGGACCTATCTATTTATTAAAAAAAAAAAAAAGAATAAGCAAGAGGCCCAATTCCAAAAAAAGGCCCACAAGTAAAAACAAAAAAGGCCAATCCAATTGCTTTTATCTTCAACCTCAGGTCCTTTTCCTTAGCGCCTATGTTTTCTAATTCAAGTTTTGTGCAGTGGCTCTCGATCGTCCAGGCGACTCTGGCGAAGCCAGTATACGCGATTGTGACTCCTCGCCAGGTGCTGGCTCCGCCATTGGTTAAACATTTGTTAGTTGCCGAATTATTGAGTGAATCGCCTATTTAGTCACTGAACTTTCAGTCATGCACGAAAGGGGTCACTGAACTTTCAAAATAACGCAATTAGTCACTGAAATTTACAACTAGTCATCCTAGCAGTCACCGAGCTAACGTCCGTTGAAAAATTTGACATAATTTCCACGTGGTAGCTTACGTGGCGAGACTACTCCTTCAATTTAGCCAGCTCGTCAAAATTGCTACAAACGTGGCATTTCCATCTTTTGAAACACGTTTAAAAAAAAAAAAAAATCACTCCACAATAAACCCGTCTCTCCCAATGTGAGCCCAAATCATCCCCCATATCCATCCAAACCCACGAACCCTTCTCCCCAAAAATTCTTCACTCTCAAAATCACTAAGAACCCTACATTCCCCACCACGATTCGATCCGGACTTCATTGACTTTGACCACGATGTGTGTGACGATGATGATTTATTGTTTGACTGTAATGTGAGTGAAGGGATAGAACTTGGTATGCGTAGCGCTCTGCATAATGAAGTTGACGAGGATTATGATAGCTCATCAAATGCATCCTCTGAAGAGCTGAAAATTGGAAGCGGTTCAGAATCTGAGGAAAATATTGGTAAACTTAGTTTTCCTGAATTTATCCCTAGAAAGAGAAATCCTGAGCTCGAGATTGGTTTATTGTTTGGGTCTTTTGAGGAATTGAAATATGCAGTTAGAAATCATGCAGTCTTCAATAGGGTTGAACCAATTTTCAAGCGAAATGATAAGGAAAGATTCCACTGTGTTTGTAAGGAAGGTTGTCCGTGGAAGTTGTGGGCATCTAAGCTACGGGGTCAAGACACCGTCCAAATAAAAACGTATTACCCTGACCATACTTGCTTGAAGGTGCATAAGAATAAGTACATTACTTTTAAGTGGCTTGCCGATTATTACTTAGAGGATTTTAGAGCTGATCCTGTATGGAAGACGAAACATTTTAGAAGTAGGGTGAGAAAAGATTTGGAAGTTCATACGTTCAGGTCGAATCGTGGTGGGGATTCGTGGTGGGGGTAGCTTCGAATCGGTATTTAGGGATTTTATGGGGGGATCGTGGTGTGATTTGGGGGAGAAATTTGGGAGAAGGGTTCGTGGGTTTGGACGGATTTGGGGGATGATTTAGGCTCACATTGGGAGAGAGAGACGGGTTTATTGTGGAGTGAGTTTTTTTTTTTAAACGTGTTTCAAAAGATGGAAATGCCACGTATGTAGCAATTTTGACGAGCTGGCTAAATTGAAGGAGTAGTCTCGCCACGTAAGCTACCACGTGGAAATTCCGTCAAATTTTTCAACGGACGTTAGCTCGGTGACTGCTGGGATGACTAATTGTAAAGTTCAATGATTAATTGCGTTATTTTGAAAGTTCAGTGACCCCTTGCGTGCAAGGCTGAAAGTTCAGGACTAAATAGGTAATTCACTCCCGAATTATTAGTCAGTTATACATTGATCATTCATACTTTCTATTCTAATTAAGTATCCAACGTTATATTGCATTTTTCTTTAATAGCTTAATCTTTACCATCTCGATTAATGGATTTGTTGAGCTGGTGAAAATCTGATTGGGCACAAAAGATATTGGTAAGTCCAAAAAAATTTAGTTCGACATGGAATATACCACATCGATCACCCACAGACGCTAACATTTTGAGTTAGGAAGCACAATCAACTTAAAAGGGAAATTGTAAAATACATAAAAGCATTTGGTATCTTATTACAATGTGTTTTCATATTTTGATAACGTTCCATAATTACATCATTTTGAATCTTGTCAAATACATCTTTCTCAATATATGCAATCAAGCTATCATTCAACCATTGATCTCCAATTCGATTGCGCAAGTGATTTTTGACAAAAGTCATCGCAAGTTCCATAATTACATCATTTTTAATATTGTGAAATACATCATTCTCAATTTATGAAATCAAACTATCATTCAACCACTTATCTCTAATTCGATTGAGCGGATGATTCTCGACATAAATTATTGCTGAAAATTCTCTCTCGATAGTAGCAAGCCATGGAAAGAATTAATTCAATGTCACATGTTCGTACTAATGATACACTTCATGTTTATTTTTCATAGCCAATTATAGTTCAAGATCACTAAGGCCCTGTAATCCTTGAAAACCTTCGCCATTGTACATGTCAAGGATATATATATATAAACGTAAATTTACGTTTAAAGAATTTGTTCGTAATTGATACAAATAATCAATTCAAGTAATCGTAAGGAAAAACATACAACAATAATCATTACTAATAATCATTTCAAATAAACACAATTCAATAAATATAAATTAAATTGGACATAATCATTCCAGATCCATTTTATATGCACAGTTCAAAAATCATTCTATATTATGTTAGATGATATGCTTGATGAATTGCACTGATCATGTATTTTTAGTAAAATAGATCTTAAATTTGCTATCACCAAATTATGATGAAAGAAGAAGATGAATGGAAAACTGCTTTTAAGCTAAGTATGAATTATATATATGAATTGTTAGTTACGTCATTTGATCTTGCTAATGCACCTAGTAGTGAACTATATTTTGCATTCATTCATAGGAAAAATTGTTGTAGTTTATTTTGATGACATTTTAGTATATAGCAAGAGTTTAGCATGTTGAACATTTGAGATATGTGCTTGTTGTTTTGAGATAAGACAACTTTGTGCTAATTTTAAGAAGTGCACATTTTGTATAAAAAAAATAGTTTTTCTTGGTTATGTTGTTAATACAAAGGTATTGAAGTGGATGAAAAGAAGGTAAAAGTCATCAAGGAGTGATCAACGCTTAAAACATAATCGAGTTAAGAAGATTTCACGGTTTAGCTAACTTTTATGGGTATTTTCTTAGAGATTTTAGCAAACTTGTCGTACCATTAACTGAAATTGTGAAAAAAGTGTTGGTTTTCATTGGGGCATTGAACAAGAAAACACATTTAGCTCGTGTCTGTTCTTGTTTTTCAACAAGATTTATATCAATTTATTGATCGTTGCCACTTCCAAATAGGCTTACGGCTGCCCTTTTTGTTGACTTGCTTCTCACACAATTTTACATTAGGAAACACACCCACTTTGCAACGGTAAAAAAGAGAACTTTAATCTCATAAAAAGTGGAGGCAAACTTGGGCTTAATATTATTAAAGATAAGCTCTGTCCTGCACCTTTTTAGTACTACTTAACCTTAACAAAACTTTTGAGATTGAATGATATACCTCAGGAATAAGGATTGGAGCCATTTTGATACAAGATAGGTAGCCAATAACATTTTTTAGCGAGAAGTAAGTGGAGGAGCTTTGATTTATTCTACATATAACAAAGAGCTTTATGCTCTTTTTCGAGTTTTGGAGACATGACAACACTACCTATGGTCAAATGAGTTCGTAATCCACAGTGGTCATGGATAATTGAAACATCTCAAGGGCCAAGGTAAGTTAAATACGAGACATGCTAGATGGATGTAGTATAGAGACTTTTTCCTATGTTATTCGATATAAATAAGTTAAGGAGAACATAGTTGTTGATGCATTATCACGAAAGTATGTATGTCTTACTTCCTTAAGTGCCAAATATGTTAAGGATATATATGCCAATGATACATATTTTTCTAACATATATATGTCATGTAATGAATGTGCGATAGATAAATTTTATACATCCTACTCAACCACTTCATTTATATCTTTTACACTTGGTAAGATCTCAAATCATCTTTAACAAAAAAAAAAAAAAAAAAAA